GGCGTATTTGTATCGCCAACTAGGATTTGCGAGTCGGGCTGATGCGGCAGGTATCACTGGGTGTCTGACTTTATTGCAGACCTGGATATACGAGTACTTTCCTGCATTGCGACCACATCGTGACCTGGTTCCTATTGATGAGGGGATGCCGCGTGCTTGTGCGTGGAGTCCGCGCTCGGAGAAGAAGTCCGTTGACCGCCTCCGATCGATACGGTTATTGCTGGACAGGCTGTCCCCCTTAGAGGTAACGTTTATAAATTGTTTCTACATTTTATTATATGCACATATTATATTCATGTTATTAAATTTTAAAACTATGTGCAGGTGAACTGGATGCCTTTCGGCCCGAACCCTAGTGTTAAGGTACCCAGGACCCTGTACACGGGACTCATTTAGTATCGTGAGATCGTCGAGGCGTACATGCCCCAGCGTTGTCTTCGCCAGCTTGGATTTGTCCAAGTTGTCCCTCCTCCCCCGACATGCCCGATGAAGGCGGTTCGACCTGCATCGTCGAGGGACTACGTCGTGCAATGGCCGGATATCATGACTGGGACGTGGGACCAGTTTCCGATGGTGGCCCGCTTATGGACTGCAGAGTTGCAGCGGCCGCCCTCTGGGGTTCCTCCCATGTGTGACCACTACTACATGGAATGGTTCAACCGGTATTCGCACCCGAGGTTGATCGCAGATCTCGACCACAGCGATGATGATTATGTGCCACCGCCTACTGCCATGGAAGCGGTATGTCTCATAAAATATTTATCGTTGTTTTTAATTAAGTTTTATATGTTGTTATTGTATTTCATCTTTTATTTTTTGTTGTATGCAGTGGATGGGAAAGATAATGCAGGACGTACAGAAACTCTCTCTGGAGAAGGACAACATGAGTGCAACAGTGAGAGCTGCTGTTGATAGTCTGGAACAGACCCTTGCGCATTGGGAGTCGGCGTCGAGGAGGGATTACTGATGGTTTTGTCATTTTATTTATAGAGCACTTTAAATATTATCGTTTTAAATTGGACATTATGTTTTAAGTTTGTAACATTTTAGATTGTTCTTTTAGCTTTCAACTTAGACATATTATCATTGTTGTTTTTAAATTTTGACATAACCGTTCGTGGATCCGCGCAACTTACCCATGCAACATATAGAATGCAGTAAGCAATACAATATAAAAAATTAATGTTCTCATTAAAAGAGCAACGTACAAATAAGGTTACATAGGAAGAATGTAAACATGAAAAACTAAAATGCAGCTAGGGTGTTCCATTCGTGGATCCGGTCATGATATAGCGCATCCCAACCCTCTACGCTCGCTGTGCGAATGGTGTACCACCGAGGTATAATCGGTGGCACTGGAAAATCGGATGACATGTCTAGTCGGATGAAATGTCTGTATGACGACCCAAGAAACGCAATAGCTACCTCTCTGACCGGTGTGGTGACAGTCTCACGCGAACGCCAAGGGAGAACCGTGGTACAAGGATAATAAGCTTGACTATGCAATCCCAGCCCGAAATGCATGACTGCACACTTGTAAATGTTTGCAACGGTAAACAGAGGGGCGCGTCAAAATAATGATTTTGACCGCAAGGTCCACCTCCCCACCGGATACGCCGCAGAGCGCCATCCAAGTCATCCTGGTACACATGAAGAGAAACATTTCGGTTAGAGGCAATTTCGTTGTACATCAACTGACGCACCAAACCGTAGTTGTCTTCGCCCATTTGAAAAACATCAGCTACGACCCGGAATCCACAGTTACCATCTCCGACTACATCATTCCACCCTTCCAAGTACGACATGATGATCGCAGGTATCCTGTCCTTGTACGGAAACTGATCAACATCGTTTCTTCCTATTCACCATATAATTAAACACAGTTAAGAAGGCAGGAGTAACCTTATAAACAATGTGCAATGTAAAAAACCAAAACGTACCAGTTCTCAGGGGCATATTCACAGACGATGAAGATTGACTACGACTACGCGGTGAATGGTGCATGCGCAAGGTAATCCATGAGTTACTGAAATAGCACACCCGCACCGAGCATACACTTCGTCAGCCAAGTCCCTCATCCTGTTCAGCTCAGTGAGAATCAACCCCAAGCAGTAGTGCGACACACGACCATGGAGAATCTTAAATATGAAATGGCTATACATCGTACCATGTCGTCGTCTGGAGTCCTCTAGAGAGTTCCTGATGCCATTCTTCTGAGTTTCAATTGACTTGTTAAGTCTATCGAACAGTGTATCCAAAGCAGCGGTCGATGAATCAATCCAGTCCTTGGTAGCTCTATGAGCGCTCTCAACTCTACATGTTGTAGTGTTCCCGAAATGAAGTACTTGGTTTGTCCAATATTTGACAAACTTTTCCCTGTGAGGGACCCATTGCTGCATCACATAGTCCACCAGTGTCGGACACCACTGGTACGAATCCCTGAAGTTAGCCAATTCTCGCTCGTACGCTTCCTCTGTGGTAGCCTGTAGGATCTTCCGCCACTTACCATTCACCAATCTCTCTGCCATTTTCAAATTCTTGTTGAAAAGGTTGTAGGCTTTCACTTTCACGCAGTTGTTGATGTGCCATGTGCACAATAAGTGGTTCGATTCTGGAAACAGCTCTGCTATGGGGGCAAAGAGACCTCCCTCACAGTCGCTGACGATGGCTGCTGGATGAACATTAGGCCCGATGTAGTTTCTCAGCTTCTCCAAGACCCAATAATAACTTGGAGCCGTCTCATCCTTGATGATTGCATGACCAATCAGAAAGTTCTGGTTCGTTGGAGTCATCCCCATGATCTCAACCAGTGGGAACTTGTACTTGTTTGTCTTGTACGTTGAGTCGATCAAAATCACAAATGGCCAAGACTTGATCATATCAGCACAATCAGGATGCACAAGGAAAAGATGAGTCACCTCCGCTGTATCTTCATCAGAATCAAACCAGAACAGGTAACCACGTGATTGTGCCTAGTGTAGCAGCTGCTGTATAGGGTTCCTTCCCTCTGACCGTTCAAACCTGAGTTGCTGTCTGACGTTGTAGATGTGTTTTCGGTTTGGATGGTCTTCTGGAAATTTCTCTAACACAGATGCTAATATTTTAGCAGGCTTGACTTGAGCATCACTCATTTCTTTCACAACTAGTTTCGCAGCAGGACTTAAGCCGCTCAGCTGTCGATGACCCTCTTCATATACTATCATCTCATGGTTGTGATACCCCCATTTAGAGTAACCAATCACTTCCCAACCGTCACGACTCCGTAGTTATCGGACCTTTACTCTGAACTCACACCCACAACCTTTCCGCTTTGTATCAAACCGAGTGGTTGTACGAAAATCTCTTTCTTCTCTTTTGCGATAACAGTCACATCTCAAAATGCGATCCATTCTACCATCCCGTTGAGATTTATGAGTTACTACTACCAAGCAAAATCCAGCTGCAATTGCAATCTGTTTTGCCCAATCAATCGCTTGTTGAGCTTCTTCGAATGGACCATCATGTCCAAATATCCCATTGTAATCATTTCCGTCTCCACCATAATCCTGCATCAATTATATATTATAATAAATACATTTAACGGATAATACATTTAATTTCTATATTTACACAGAATTAACACAAAAAAAAACATAATTATGTATAATATTATTCATACACATACACATACAAATTTTAAACACAATCATTTATAAAAGTCACATAAACAATTAAATATTTTGGTATACATTAACACAAATCTACTCACTACATACATAAACACATTAAATTATTAAACATAATTTAAAAAAAACACCGTTTTGAATTTTCAATTTGAAATAAATTAAAAAAAAAAAAAACCATTTCCAATTTTTTTTAATACAATTTCGAATTGTCAAACTTAATTTAAAAAAAAAACCTTTCTCAACAATCAAACTTAATTTTAAAAAAAAAACCCAATTCGAATTTTCAAACTAAATTTAAAAAAAATACCATTTCGAATTTTCAAACTTAATTTTAAAAAAACCTATTTCGAATTTTCAAAATTAATTTTAAAAAAACCCATTTCGAATTTTTAAAAAAAATCATTTTCGATTTTAAAAAAAAAAAAAAAAAAATTAAAAACAACAACAAAATCAAAAAAGAAAGAAAAAAAAATATAGGTGGCGTCTGCTAGGGCTGCCACAACCACTGGACTGGCGCCTGGCAGGGCCGCCTCAGCCAGCGGAGTGGTGCCTGGCCAGGACGCCAGTCTGGTGGTCTGGGCGTCTGGGCTGGATGCCGGTGTGGTGGTTCTGGCGTCTGGCTTGGACGTCCATGCTACGGTGAGGGCGTCCATCCTAGGCGCCGAAGCCACTCCTACGGTAAACCGTGAATTTTAACGGTGACTTACCTCGTTTTCCGTCGACGACGACGTACCTCCGGCGTCCCCCGCATCTCCGGCCTGCCCTCCGATCTCCCCCGGCGAGCCAGTACGGCTCCACATTTTTTAAATCGAGATTTGTTCAATTTTAGAAAATGGGCATAATTGTCACACCAAGTCATATTTGTGGGCTTTATATGGTAATTTGCGTGCGATGTTTAACAAATCCCTACTTTAAAGACCCCAACCTTCATTTTTGAGGAAAACAATACACATGTATCAAAGTATACCTAACAATAGATACTTTCTCCAATCCACATTATCTAACACAATGCCTTTTTTTCGTCCCGTTCTTAAATATTTGATACACTACTAAAATAGAATGAGACCATCAACGTATTTTTTTCTTCAAATTATATGATCCACTGATTTACCTTTTTAAATACGAAGTTAAAAATTTAAATCACCCCATCTCTCACCCTTACTAGCCCCACTATTTAATTTGCAACTTTCAAATATTATCCTGTCCACTTCACTTTAACATCATTCAATATAATCAGATCAGCTCCTTATACATATATTCATACCTTTTCTTAAATTTTGTACCATGAGATCGAAAGCTTCTCGCAGTGTTGCAATACGTACATACAAAGGGCGAAGTAATTAATTTTAACTATGGAGTACAAGTACATGCAAAAGAACATTAGGTTAATTCTTTTTAGAGATTTAGTAGTTAAAGAGGTGCAATTAGAAAAGAAATGAAGTTTATAACCCAAATAAAGTTTAGTGGAAATGTAAAAAAAAAAAAACAAAACAGAGAGGAGGTAAATAACGCAAAATAGTTAGAAGCAATTGAAGGAAGAGTACGCCACTGAAAGAACAAAGAAAAGTAGAACGAAATTAGGAGTAATACGATTCCATTGTCATTAGGAATTCTTACAAATCAACAAGACAACATTCAAGTGAAATTAAACCATAACAAAATGAGTAAATTAATCATTGATTAATATATATGTACAATTACAAATGCTAGAGTAATTATAAAAAGTACTAATAGCATTACTTTAGTAGGAAGAATTATTTGGTTAATCAATCAATGATTAACCTACCAAGATTATAGCCCTTCAACTTCACGTTAGCACCAATGCCGAAACTTGAACCACACGATCAAAGAATATTTAACAGTCTCGGGCTAATAAAATCCCGACAGCTTATTAAAAACTATTAGAGGTGGATAATTTACGCGATGAATAGACCCGTTTTCGACAACTCCTAGGAGAACCACAACCAATTTCCCCCTCCTCACCCCATAATCGTACCACACTACCATCAATCACTTTCCTATTTTGGTAACTATACCACCCTAAATCACCACCTCTCATCTCGACCGTCAATTCGGATGACGAACCCCATCTCTTAATCATCACCCATTCATTTTTCTCCTCATCGACTTCATCGTCGTCGTTATAATCTCCACCGTCCACTTCACCGTCTTCATTTTCATCATTTTCTCTCTCCTCGCAAAAAACAGTAAAAAACTTCTTACTGTTTCCCCTCGTCAACACCTCCTCTTCTTCTTCTTCAGTTTCTTTCTCCTCTTCCTCGACACCGCCTTTTCTTACAAACGGCGTCGTTTTGGGAACAGTAGGAGCTGGTTCTGGTGTTGGTGGAGGAGAGAGGAAAATGTGGGACGACGACGACGTCGTTTTAATGGATGAGTTGTGGATACGCCAGAAGCTGACGGCGGCGGTGACGACGGCGAGCCATGCCCAGATATTGTTAACTACGGCGGATAATAGAGGGCCTAGATTAACTGGGATGAAGGCTAATGACTCTAAGGGTGAATCAAGGCCGTTCATTTTTGTTTTAATTTGTTGTTGTGAAAAAATAATAAATTAGATGGACAATGTGGTGGTTATGGTAGGAAGGAAGAGTGTGTTGAGGGAGGAGAGAGAGAGAAAGGGTGTATTTAAAGGGAGAGGAAAAATTGGAGAGTGAAAATAATATGCTGAGAATCGAAGGATCAAAGATGCCAAAATGCCGTTTATTTTTTTTTTTGGATGAAATTGTTGAAATTTTCATTTTTGTTACTAAGGGTAAGGGATATTATTTCACCACTCGTGCGAAAGTAGTGGCCTATAACAGAGTAGATTCTATTATAAATTCGGGTGTACTCGTATGCATTTTACAACTCTTTTAATAAATGCGTAGTATTACTTTATACTCTTTTTTGTATTAAAATAAATGTTTATTTTACAGTATTTTAAATGGTTTTTAAAATATGTGTTTGACCATCAATATCTTTAATAACACGTTAATATAAATTTTAAAAAGTTGATATTTTAAAAAACTACACATTGAAACGTATCCATCGATGTTTTGCATTATTACAGAGTATTATTTTTTACATAACAATGAGAATATGTGGTCAAAGTTTTTTAAGTTTGACCATAAAAATATAAATAGATCGTTTGGTTGGATCATTTTGGAATGGGTTGGAATGGAGTTAGAATCCATTCCATCTAGTTTTTTGTTTGGTTGAGTTTTTTTAGTAATGAAATCTCATACCCAAGAAGTTCTAACTCCACCCCATACCTATGGAATATCATACCCACCTCTCTGCCCAAGATTCATAATCAATTTTATTAATGAAGTATAGAATTCATTCCAAGTTCCAACAATAAAACCAAACAACTTTAAACTAGTATGAGTTTTAGAATCCATTCCTCTATAGTATGAATTTGCATACCAATCCATTCTAATATAGTGAACCAAACACCAGGACTGCTGGAGTAGTTTTTAGCTGTCAAATGGTTATTACTTATGAAGATAGGTAATTAAATTATGAATGTTATGTAAAGTAGCTATTGTCAGACAGTTATATGTGAAGATATATTTAATTTAAACTAAAGATGTAGAGAATGTATCGACTCGATGGAGTACTACTTTTATCTATCACAAGCTACTATTTTAACTTTTGGCAAAAACCACTTGCACCACACTATTCACTTCAACCACTACCTTGTTAGAACACCTTTGAATTTAATTAAGTTGTGTCTTGATTTGATCAAACCACTAAAAATTACTCAAAAGTTACTACCAGACACGACCTTCATATACTTGAATATTCAACTCTCACGAAATTCCAATTGATAGTCTTAAAATGACACTCGGGTGCACAATATAAATCATAGTAGGGCCCGATTATTTTATCTATAGGCTGGATTTTTAAGGAAATCTTGTATTAGTTGGATCACTTGGATCACTTGGATGTATGATGTTTGTATTTTTGTATTATTTTTGTCTGAATAGGGCTAAAATTGGCTGGCCAATAGAATTAAGAGTCAAAGAAATTTTGGGATTATGTTATTGTTGAGACTGATACTTGTAACTGACCAATCAGAAAGGAAGGATGGGCGGAATTTGTGGCTCATGAGATCACCTGGAAATGAGGCTGCTACTCTTTTTAGTGAGAATTAGGAGAGGATATTCCCCTTTGCTACTTATATTTGTTCCTTTTTTTTCTACTGTCTTCAACTATCAACTTGCAAACAACTGGCCCAAAATAATTAAAAAAGAAAATAATTATATCAAATGGTACGAATTATAGCGATCTCTGGGTGTATAGAATCGCAAAAATAGTGATGTAAGTTGGGAATAAATTAGGTTTTTTTTTTTTTTCAATTTTCAATTTTTTATTTTTAGTAGAGAGATCGAGATATAAGAGACTATAAATTAATTAAAGAATGAGTTAGACTTTTGTATGGTATATATAAAGAGCCTCAAATATATATAGTGACGTGGACAAATATGAGTTAGATATTTGACATATATGCATGGAGTTTTCTGTGCTATAGTTCGAACTAAAGAATATCACAAACTTCATATTTTTAAGGTTAGCCTTTTACCTTATTAAGAAGTAGGTATGCGAACAATAGCTATCTAACAAGACGTATACGGATTAACTTATAACTTTCTCTTCGATTCATGTGAAAAATGAATTGTGTTGATTAAAAAGAATTGAGTGAGTATACCAATTTTTGTAAAATAGGAATAATTGGCTCAATCACACTACTTTTGACTTGTTTGCAATAAGTGGCACATACAATTTTAAATTGATGCACTCCACATCACAAATTACAATGTTATTAGGTGCAAAGCAAGAAATAAATGATGGAAAGTACTCTAATTACTCCATATTAATTTGTGTTGTCAAGTGTACCCACTGAAAATCATGCTATACACTATATCAAACCCATAATTAGGCCTTGTTCTTTAGAGTTGCCCTACTCTGCTCTGCTTAAAACTAATAATTAATAATAATAATAATTAAAATTTAACAAAAATAAAAATAAAAATAATTAATATTTATTAATAATAACTAATATTTATAGATAATTATTAATATTTAATAATAATAATAATTAATATTTTATAATAATAATAATAATAAGAATTAATATATAATATTAATTGATAATTTTAACTAATATTTAATGGTAATAATTAATATTTTATATTATTTAACACATTTTCTAATGTTATAAAAAGAGTAAAAAAATCTAAAAATAATAATAATAATAATAATAATAATAATAATAATAATAATAATAATAATAATAATAATATTTTCTCTAGGATAGGATTTGCTATAGCTAGAGGAGTGGGGGCTCGGATTGTATCTTGGCTTCCCACTAATTTAGTGTAGGTTGTATGACTTTGTCTATTTTTGAGATATAATAATAATAATAATAATAATAATAATAATAATGCGATAATAATAATAATACTATTAATATTAATAATAATAATGATAATAATAATAATAAAAATATTAAAAATAATAATAATAATAATGCGATAATAAAAATAATAATACTAATATTAATGCGATAATAAAAATAAAAATAATAATACTAATATTAATAATAATAATAATAATAATAATAAAAATAATAATAATAATAATAATAATAATAATAATAATAAAACTAATAATAATAGTAGTAGTAATAGTAACAGCAACAACAACAATTATTATTATTATTATTATTATTAGGGATATTCTCAATGGTAACCCCCTACAATTGCTACGCACCAACGGTAACCCCCTTTTTTTTGGATTATACGAATTGACCTTAGTTATCTTTTTTCTCCTAATGATGACATTAATGATATTTAAACATAAAATTAAACCATGGTTAACCAAAATAGCGAAATGACAAAAATGCCCCCTTTTATTTGACAGATTTTATTTTAAAAAAAAAGTCACCCCCTTCCCCCACCAACCTGCCACCACTCCCCTGCCCAACCTATGCCGGCGCTGGCCTCCCCCTACCCCCACCAACCTTCCACCACTCCCCTTCCCTCGCCGACACGCCATCCTCCCCCTTCCCTGCCGCGCCCTCTCCACTTCCCCATCCCCCTGAACCACAAGTCCACGACCCCCCCCTCCCCCAAAACCTCAACAACCTACAGCCGCCCAACCTCCGACAGCCCACACATCACCAATTGCTCCACCAATTCGCCACCTACAGTCGTCAATTCGCCACCAATCAACGCTGGTCACTTCCCAGCTCACCTTAAAACCGTCGCCAATTCGATTTTTACCAATTAATCTCCCTTTGCAATCAACAATTTAGTTACCAACAATTGTAATTTCGACCACAATGGCAGCTGCTAACATCAATTTAACGCCCTAATTGAAGACCCAGATGGTGCGATCATGGAGTGCGCTCACGAGAACGGTGACAAACCCACAAAAACGCCATTAACAGATGAATTTTGGTTTGCTGGAGTGATGAATTTTCGCCATTTAGTTTCGGTTGGGGTATCAAGGTGAGGCCGTATGGGCGGTGCTCAGGGGTGAGGAGCAGTGGCAGGGAAGGAGGGTGAGGGGGCGGCTGGTGTAAGGAGAAGGAGAGAGAAAAAGGGGTTGGGGAGGAGGTAGGCACCGGAAAAGGGGAGGGATATGGCGGTGGCTGGCTGGTGGATATGGTGGTGTGGATGATGGTTGTGGTTGTTAATTTTTCTAAATGTTTTTCTTTTTTTCTGTAAAAAAAATTAAAAAACTAACCATAGTTAATTTTAATTGACTATTTTATGTTAAAACACCATCATTAATGTCATCTTTAGGAGATAAAAGAAAAGTAGTGTCATTTCGTATAATCCAAAAAAAGGGGGTTACCGTTGGTGCGTAGCAATTGTAGGGGGTTACCATTGAGAATATCCCTAATTATTATTATTATTATTATTAGGGTTAAGGGTTAAGGGTTTGAGAGGGTTGAGGGTATAATAATAATAATAATAATAATAATAATAATAATAATAATAATAATAACAATAACAATAACAATAACAATAACAATAATAATAATGGTGAAATCTGCTCTGCTCAGCTCTGCTATGCTTTACTGAAATCTGCTTAGCTCTGCTCTGCTCTGTTATGCTGAAATCTGCTCTACTCTGTCCAAAAGCTCAAAAGAATAGAGCCTTAGTGTCATTGAGGCCAATAACAACAATTCTCATGGATTTATGTCCTATTACATGAACCTTTTCTTTTATATATAATATGACGACCAAATCAAAGAACACTATTTTGAAATTAGTTTACTACTATATTGTATTATTAATATGTGTTTAAATTTATTGATTATGATGGAGGTGTTTAATAAATGAAGGCAATTCTCTTAGCTTGCGCCTCTAAATTAGTTGTCAATCAAAGGCTTCAATAGTTCAATTCATTGTCCCATACATTAATATAATGTCCACTTATTATTTTGATAGTATGTAGAATAAAGTCATATGTTTGGATATTGTACATCTGTATTTCCACCTTTCTAGTAGTAAGTTTGCTAACATATCAACATACATCTTATGTCATTATGTGCAACAATTCAAACCAACACAGCAACACTATTACACTACTAGTAACCTGTTTTAGTTACTAGTAGGTGTTAAATGGTAGGCCAGGTCGATTGCAACCATTACCAAATTAATAGAGAGAGTCTACATGATAAAGCTAAAAGAGTAGTCACTTTTAAGTAATCATTTGATAATAATGGAATTTCTAAGATTATGTGATCAACTCTTTATATTCTTTAAGACATTCACTTGTGTTGTTTAAGAAGACAGTCACTACAAGAAAACAACTTGATTTCGACGGAAAAAATCCGTCGAAAACATCAGTCTTTCGACGGAATTCCGTCGGAATTAGTCTGTC